ATCTGATGGCCACCTATAAGTTTATCAGGGGTGACCACCAGTACCCGAGGGAAAGTTTGTTCACCAGAGCGCCCCAGGTTATAACAAGGTTGTACCGTTATAAACTGCAAGACCGTTTCTGGCTAGACATAAGGAAGAATTTCTTTACTGTCCAAGCCCCCAAGGCCTGGAACAGCCTGCCATTGGAGGTGGTTCAAGCACCTACACTGAACACCTTCAAGAGCAAATTGGATGCTTATCTTGCTGGGATCCTATGACCCCAGCTGACTTCCTGCCCCTCGGGTGGGGGGCTGGACTTGATGATCTTCCGAGATCCCTTCCAGCCCTAATGTCTGTGTGAAAGTCTGTGTGAAATTTCAGCTAAGAAAATAACTCCAGAATACTTTGACTGCTTTTTTCATTTTATTTCTAAAGTTTAGTAAATGTAATGCTTCTAGAGGGGACCAAATTGACTACCCCATAAAGCAAAGCCTTTTGTTTGTTTTGTGGATCTCACAAGAATAGGTAGCCATAGTTTCTCCATATGTTTAGCATATCTACCTCAACCCTTTTCATTAAGAGCACATTTAGAGAGGGGTGTACCTATTTAATCCGTGGTTGACAAATGTGCCCATTTTGGAGAGGAAGGATTTTCTGTTTATGAAGAAATGGAAGGATAGCAGCAACTCATTTCACAGAGGAAACCAATCAGTAAGGCAGCCTTTAGTCACAGCCAGCCTTCACTATATTTGAACTAAATAATTTTCACTTCACTTCTGGAATTGACCACAGCCCACACCTACTCACACAACAATTGTTTGTGGATTGTTTAGCTTGCTGTTTTGCCAGTACCCCCAAGAGACATTCTGTTTGGTCCCAGTTGTGACTGCTTAGTGCTCTCACACTGCGTACACCTTTCAGAAGCATTACATTTACTAAAGCTTTAGATACCAAATAAAAAGCTCAATGGAAGTGTTCTTGAGAATCTTCTTGGCTGAAATGAATGTGTTTATTACCCAAAAGTACATACAGTGATAAGATATTTAAGCAAACTGATGTAATTTAAGACTGAGCTTAAAAGGGTAATGTTTTCTAAAATCCTTACAAGATAAATACTATTTTCATTGAATTAGTATTTTAGTGTCATTAATAACCAGTAAGGGAATTAGGTTTACATCGACAAAAGAGTTTAATGTGTGTTAGTCCCACCTCCCCTCACTGAAAGCATATCTTCTAAAATTGTAACCCTCAAAGCACCTGCTCTACTGATGCCTAAATTCCAAAGACACTTCCATTTTCAGCAGTGTTTTTCAAAAGGTATCCACAGTTCCACCAGTGGCAACTCCTACAAGTGTCTCAGGTCATGTGCAGATGAAATGCGGGCCCTAAATTGAAGCGGTGGGTTTTTTAAAAAAAATACTTCAATTTAGGGCCCTTTAAGCCCTTGGCACATACCCACTTACCTACCTGTCTGGCCACAGGGAGGGGAGGGCGAGCTGATGGCAGGCGGAGCAATCCCTGGGCTGCGGGTGTGGGGGACTGGAGCTTCCTTCTGCAGCAGCAGCAGCCCACCCCCCCGGTGGCACCTGCCCACAGGCACCTGGCTCGGGCGGTCGCAGGGGGCACCACAGCCATGGAGGGAAACACTGGGCACCCCCATAGCTGATGCAGGCAGGCAGGCTCCAGGGAAAAAAGGCAGAACCTGCCTTCCTGGGCTCCTGCCAGGCCGCCTACACGGGCCTCCTGCAGTACCCCTGAGCTTCATGGAGCCCAGTCCTTCGGTCTGCAGCTGTAGGGCAGCAAACTAAAATTCCCAAGTCATTTAAGGCACATTACACTGCCGAATTTGCTACAGCAGCTGGAATTACTGTGCAATACATCGCTGACACGTGCATACACTAACACCATTACAGCGCTGCAAAAGCATTTAACCCTCTTTAAAGTGTCATGCACACATGCCCCTCGTTTCATCTACATATGACTCAAGTCTTGAAAATGTAGCAATATTTAGTGCCTTGCTCATTTCTAATCACATCCGAATCCATGAATTAGGCGTTCCTCCAGGTATGCTGGCAGTGCACTTGTAATAGAAAAGGCTCCAAACAGTAGATGGTGGTACACCACATTTTGTAACCCCCACTTGTCTTAGGAGATAGAGCACTTATCCACGAAATGGCAGACCGAAGTTCAATTTGCTCCTCTGCCTGATGGGATTCAAAACACATCTCTCACCTGGACAGTTTCCTGACAACCAGGCTGCTAGTACTTCTGAGGTAGGGAACATCCTAACCCTTCTGTTAAAGGGGCTCCACTGCTCAGAAAGGATTGTAAGATTCATTAAGTCATAGAGACAGAGAATGACTCCTTAGCACACTGAGCCATCTCCACATGAGCAGGGGCATTTGTTTGCAGCAGTACAAATAGCACAAAAGCTGCTTGCAGCTGTGCTCTAGCCAGCCAGGGAGTGGCATTTGGAGACAGGGGAGCAGGCAGCCCAGGGCAGCCAGCTTCTCTGTCTCCACATGATGAGGCAGCCTGCACCCCAGCTAGCTGTGGAGCAGCTGGCTGGGGTGCAGTGTGCCTTGAGACAGGGGAGCAGGCAGCCCTGGACTAGTTGCTTCTCTGTCTACACATGCCTCAGTGCAGGGGCTCCGCTGTGGAGCCCCTGCACTGAGGCATGTAGAGATGGGAGAGCAGGCAGCCCTGGACTGGCTGCTCCCCTGTCTTGAGGCACACTGCACCTCGCCCAGCTGCTTTGCACCTGCCTGGGTAGCAGTGTGCCTCAGCGCAGGGGTTCTATGCTTCTCAGCACCCAGGGCCACCTGCTTCCCTTTCTCGAGGCACCCTGTGTCCTGGAAAAACTTCCCTGGGGAGTGGCTGGCTGGGGAACGGGGTGC